CACGACAGATGGCACAAGGTGAAGTCTGGAAGCAGCTGAAGTGTTTCTGCAAGCACATTTCATTTTTAAAGCAAAACAAAATGTCTGTTCATCTGAGTATTGAGATAAAAGAGGGAAAAGCTTCAGAGCAGACACATAGGTTTGTCCACTCAAGGAAGATGAGGATGTAGCATTAAGTAGAGAAAGCTAAACTTCAACTCCTGGGCTGAGTTCTGCATCATTATCAAGAAAAGGATTCTTGACTGGTAAGAGCAAAACCATCTTAGCTAGAGAGGCTGATTCCAAGACAGGGGAGGAGGGATGTAAAGCTCCAGCCAGGGGTGACCTTGTCACTCGGGATACTTCCATCCCAAATTGGAGCGCCTGTGACTGGATCCTGGCTCCATGCCTGGCTCCAGCTTCCCACCCAATGGGAGGCAAAGGGTCACAGCCTACGGAGCTGGATTGCTGCCACCCATGTGGCAGACCAGACTGCCTCCACCTCTGGCCTGGCCCAGTTGTGGATGTTGCACGGGTTTGGGGGAATGAACCAGCAGATGGAAGATCTTTTACTTCCCTAGCTTTCTATCTATTTTTCAAATAAATAAAAGTGAGTTAAATAAAGGTCCACTTTAACAATATGAGGAACCGAAGGCAGTCTGTGGCTGAGATCCAGGCCCAGGCACTAGCACCTTGGGGCTGCCAGGGAACTTGCAGATGGTTTACTGAACCCTCAGGTGAGCTCAGAGCAGCCAGAGAGAACAGGAAGAAGACCAGCCAGAATATTAGAGAATGAGCAACAGCAGCCTGACTTTTAAAGAGGAGAAAAGCCAGTTCCACTCACCATGAGACTATAGAGCAGCCTGAGTAAGAAACGGAGCTGCAGTGGCCATCAGGCAGATGTCAGAACATATAGGAAAAGCAGCTCAGAGAGAAGGCAAATAACCCAGTGGAGAACAGGACAATTAAGTGAAAAGCAGACACAACCAGCCAGGAAATACAAAGGCCACCCGGCCTCCATAACAGAAGTGTCCACTCAGTAAAGATAACTGGATACAACTATTGACACAGAAGATCAGTAAAAACCAAAAGACTGGTATCAATTATTGGACAAGATGTGGGGAAATGACACTCCACTAGTGAATTTACAGCTTTCCTTAAAGAACGATTTGGTGGTACCAATTAAAATAAAACACATATTGTATTTTGTCCCAGTGATGTGACACATACACACACCAGCTTATAGAAAGTTTCGCAATAAAAGATTCTCTATTATAGTAAAGATGAAGAAAACATTGTTTTTATCTGTGCATGATTTGTCACATGCTGAAACATGAAGATACTTCAAAAGGTTCATGAAAAAGTGGAATGAGAGATGAGCAAGGAGAACAGACATTCTGCACAGCAGGAAAGATGCTGCTTGGGACACCCACACCCCACGTGCGAGGGCCCGGGCAAGTCCTGGCTCTGCTGGCCGCTCCGCTTCCCGCTTGTGCTAATGCACACCTTGGGATGACGGCTCCACAACTTGAGGCTCCTGGCTTCCACCTGGCCTAGACCCAGCTGTTGCGGGTATTTGGGGAGTGAAGTAGCAGATGGGAAATCTTTCCATTTGTCTCTCTTTCAAAGAAAATTAAAATATACCAAAATTTTTAAAAAGATAATTTTGGTGAAAAACAATTTTGAAATTCATACATACACACATATGTATATACACATACACACATATGCACTTTCTTTTCTAATATTTATTTATTTGAAAAGCAAAGAGAGAGAGAGATCTTCCATCTGTGACTATGGCCGCAATAGCTGGGACTCAACAGGACCCAGCCAGGAGCTAGGAACTTCGTCCAGGTTTCCTACTTGAGTTGGCCCATCCTCCACTGCTTTCCCAGCACATTAGCAGGGAGCTGGATCGGAAGTAGAACAGTGAAGACTTGAACTGGCACCCATATGGGATGCTGGCACTACAGGCATGGTTTAACCTCCTAGGCCACAATGCCAGCACCCACAATATGCATTTTTTATGAACTTGTTGAAGATCCCTTGCGCATTCTGACACACTGACACTGTGCAACACTAAACCATGGATAAAATTAAAGAGAATCCATATTCACATGCTATATTGAATGATTAAGATGTTAATATCTATGCTTTAAGAAAGCATTGGAGGGCCCGGCAGCGTGGCCTAGCAACTAAAGTCCTTTTCTTGAACGCGCCGGGATCCCATATGGGTGCCAGTTCTAATCCTGGCAGCCCCACTTCCCTTCCAGCTCCCTGTTTGTGGCCTGGGAAAGCAGTCGAGGACGGCCAAAGCTTTGGGACCCTGCACCTGTGTGGGATACCCAGAAGAAGTTCCTGGATCCTGGCTTTAGATCGGCATAGCATTGGCCCGTTGCATGCATTTGGGGAGCAAATCATCGGACGGAAGATCTTCCTCTCTTCTCTCCTCCTCTCTCTATATCTGACTTTCCAATAAATAAATAAATCTTTTAAAAAAGAAAGAAAGAAAGCAAGCAAGCAAGCATTGGAGTGGGCATGTAGTGCAACCGTTAAGATGCTATCTGGGGTGCCCGGCAGCATGGCCTGGCAGCTGAAGTCCTTGCCTTAAATGTGCCAGGATCCCATATGGGCGCCGGTTCTAATCCCAGCAACTCCACTTCCCATCCAGCTCCCTGCTTGTGGCCTGGGAAAGCAGTTGAGGACGGCCCAAAGCTGCACCCACGTGGGGGACCCGGAGGAGGTTCCTGGCTCCTGGCTTCAGATTGGAGCAGCACTGGCCATTGAGGTCACTTGGGGAGTGAATCATTGGATAGAAGATCTTCCTCTCTGTCTCTCCTCCCCTCTGTATATCTGACTTTGCAATAAAAATAAATAAGTCTTTAAAAAAAAAAAGATGCCATCTGGGATGCCCAGATTTCATTTTGGAGCACCTGGGTTCCAGGCCCAGCTCTGTCCCTGATTCTAGCTTCCTGTTAATATACACTGAGGGAGGCAGCAAGTGATGGCCCAAGCAGTTGGGTCACCCACATGTGGAGATCCAAATTGAGTTCCAGATTCTTGGCATCACCTGGCCCAGTCCTGGTTGTTGCAGGCATTTGAGGGGTGGCCATGTTGTCATCCTGGGCACAAAGGCACACTGAGGCAGGATGATATTGCCGGGAGGGAGAGTTGAAATAGACTAAAAGCCTATAGTCTGGAGTTACTGACTCAGGACCCAGGGGAAACTGTTGAACAACATGTGATGTGTCCTGTTCAACATATTCATTCATTCACTTATTCACTGAATCTCTCCCTCACTCACTCAACAGACAACTATTTATTATGCATCAGATATTGTACAGAAGACATAAACATGGTTCCTGCCTGACATCCAAATTGCTCTAGGCAGAAAAGAGAAAAACGCACTGTGACAGACGCCCTGATCCAGATGTTAGGGAAGCTTGGGAGAGGGACCTGACCCCATCTGTCCTCTTCAAGGTGGTTACTCTCTGTACCCATGGCCTGTCACCTTGAGAGCACAGCATTAAGCTAGGTACTACCACAGTAGGGAAATCACAAACAAGAGCTAGAAAACTCTGGTAGGCTGTAACGAAGCCATGGAAATCCATTTCCAATTACTAAAACATCCCACCCTTGGGTTGCTGGAGAAGAACCTTCAGTTTTGAGTCTCACTGAAGAACTTTGCCAAAGAGGCCTCTAGCCAGAACCAGGAGTCAGGATAAGAAAAGTGGGGCCCACACCTGAAGATGCCCAGCAAAAGCCATACCCTGCTTTTCCAGGGCAACCCTGCTCTCTCCCTCAGCCTCCAACCTCACTTATACCCTTCCCTCTGCTTTCTCTCAGACAGCTGTCTGCAGCCAAAGGACATGGGAAGCTCAAGATTCCTGAAGGTAACCTTGGCAGAACCACTCAAGGGAAGGGCCAGATGGAAGATCCCTCCTAGGTGAGCTGCCAGAGGCAGGTGGCCAGTTGGTTTCCTGTTCTCAGCTGACAAGACCTTTCAGGCCTGCTCTCTCCCTGTCCCCAGTGGGTGCCCCAATGCTCTCTTTGTCACCCAGGAGAAAAACCGAGATGCATAGGTCTCCCAGTCCTTGTGACTGTGTGACCCGGGCAGATGTTTCACTCAGTGTTCTACTCTGATTAATGAACAAAGAGACTACATAAATTCTAAAAGGTCTTCCAGCTTTGACAGGTGACACATGTTAGCTGTGTGTGCATGTTCCTCCTGAGAGTGTGCACTGTTAAAAGGGATTTCAAGGAATTAGCATTGCAACACAGCAGTTTAAGCCAACTCTTAGGATGGCAGGACCCCATACTGAAGTGTTGGTTCAAGTCCTGACTGCTCCACTTTCCATCCACCTCCCTGCTAATGCACCTGAGAAGGCATGAGATAACAGCCCAAAATCTTGGGCCCCTGCCACCCATAGGGAAGACTCAGATAGATTTCCAGGCTTCCTCATGGAAGGCCTGGATATTATGGACATCTGAGGAGCAAACCAGCACATAGAAGATCTATCACTCTGCCATTCAGATCAATCAATCATAAAAAAGTGAACATCTGGGTCCGATATGGTAGCTTAGTGGCTAAGCCCTCGCCTTGCATGCACTGGGATCCCATATGGGAGCTGGTTCATATCAACGCTGCACTTCTCTTCCAGCTCCCTGCTTGTGGCCTCAGAAAGCAGTGGAGGACAGCCCAGAGCCTTGGGACTCTGCATCCCTGTGGGAGACCCGGAAAGAAGCTCTTGGCTCCTGGCTTCAGATTGGCTGAGCTCTGGTTGTTGCGGCCACTTGGGGAGGAAGCCAGGGGATGGAAGATCTTTCCCTCTGTCCTTCCTTCTCTTTGTGAATCTGCCTTTACAATAGAAATAAATAAGTATTTTTTTAAAAGTTAACATCTTCATAAAATAAATCATTTCAAAAAGGACAATATAAATGAGCTGATGGTGAAATTTCAGGCGCCAGAGGATTTCCTTGTGTAAGAAGGGTCCTGGAAGGAACCCTCCCTTGAGACTGACCTCTTTAATGATGATCGGGACAGCACCTGTGCAGCCTGGTTCATGGCTCGGACCCACGCGTTCATGTCCTCCTGGGTGTCGGCACTGAAGTAGTAGGTCCTCATGCCCGACTGCTCGGCCTGCGAGCCCCCTGCGGAGCTGTTGTAGATGAGTGCTCGCATCCCTGTGTGCACCGCCTGAGAACACAGAGATGGAAATCCAGGTTAGCGCAGGTTGGCTCAGGGCCTAAATGAGGAGGCACTCTGACTGGCATCCTCTCTGTGCACAGCCGAAAAGCTTGCGTAACACCAGCTGGTCCCCCACAACCTGGGAAATGCGCAGGCTATATTCCTCTTCCCACTCCTCACTGTGGAGGCCATGTAGCTATGCCTGCTCCTATTTACCTTCTCCTGCTTAGCGAGGGGCCAAGGTTTCTCACTTTCTCTAGATGCACTCTTGGGAATCGACAATTCGATCCTTCTGTAGCCTGTAATCCCTGCTTTGGCTAGTTCAGAGAAGAACTGAATTGGAGTGGGACATAGTGCTTGGTTAAGATGACAAACCAAGCACCTCGGTTCAGGTTGCAGCTCCCCTGCTGCCTCATGCCTCCTGCCTCCTGGGGGCAGCCAGTATGGGAGACTCAGATTGAATTCCTGGCTCCAGATTTACCCTGGCCCAGTCCCAGCTGCTGTGAATTTTCTCTATGGCTCCCCTTTTCTTTGCCTTTCAAATAAATAAAGCAACATTGTTTAAGAAAGAAATGAGCCAGCATTGTGGTGTACCAGTTTAAATCACCCTCTCTAATACTGACATGTCATATGGACATGGCTGTGTTTCCTAGCTGTTCCACTTCTGATCCAACTCCCTACTAATGGTCTGGGAATGCACTGAAGGATGGCCCAACTACTTGGGTTCCTGGGCGAATATCAATGGCCCAGAACTGGTCAATTCTGCCATCTGGGTATTAACCAGCAGATGAAAAATCTTTCTCTTTTGCTCTCTCGTAAATAAAACTTTTTTTTTTTTAAGAGGAAAAAGAACTGAGTCAAAACCAGCTGGACATCAGGCACCTTGGTGCAGGTGTTGCCTAGTATCACTGTTTGGACATGGCATGTGATTTATGTCCATTGAGGCAGCTGATGTCTCTCCACAAGAGGTATGATGAAATTCAACGGAGCTGATTGACATTTGATTAAGAATTTTTGTTTTAATTAGAAAGGTAGGTTTACAGAGAGGAGATACAGAGAGAAAAATCTTCCATGTGCAGGTCCACTTCCCAAGTGGTCACAATGGCCAGAGTTGAGTCAATCCGAAGCTAGGAGCTACTTCTGAGTCTCCCATGCAGGCTTTGGGCCATCCTTGACTGCTTTCCCAGGCCACAGGGAGGTGGATGGGAAGTGATACAGTTGAGCATGAACCAGCATCTATCAGAGTTCTGGGCACGTGCAAGAGGAGGATTTAGCCACTGAATCATCGTGTTGGGCCCAGTTGACTAAGATTTCTTGTGCATCTCGTGTGGGCTTCTGTTTCAAAGTGCTTTCATGCATAACCTTACAAAGAAGCTGGGAATGGGGTAGGAGGGATGACTACTGAAGACAAACCAGGATGGTTTGTAAACTGGAGGCAACACAGAACAGCTGAGGTCTGTCTAAATTTGCAAAATAAATAAATAAATAAATAAATAAATAAATAAATAAATAAATAAATCTACATAGATGCTGATGTATAAAGAGGAAAATTTATTAAAGGCCTACCATAATATGTCTCCTGGGTACTTCCACATCTCAAATTTCATTTTAATCCCAACAGCGTTGAGAAATTAGCTCTAGAGATACGATCTCTGAGAGGTTAAGTAACTCCCAGGTTTCTACATCTGGCAACAGATTCACCACGGCGCTCACATTTACCTAACGCCATTTCTTTTACACACTTGTCCTCTCTGTGCCTTCTCTCAAGTTTACAAGAACAGGTACTTGTTTTGTTCTAAAGTGTAACCCCAGGAGCAGTACATGGCACATAGTAGATGTTCCATAACTATCTGTTGAATGAATGAAGTATTGGAGCCAAGGCCTGACACTGCGTGCAGACTCCTCTGTGCAGTGCTTCCAGTTCCTACCCAGAAGTGAGAGTGATGCAACAGGGCATTCACTGACCCCCTAAGCTAGAACCAGAAAGAAAGGTAGGTCCCATGCAAGGGCCAGAGGAAGCAAAGTAAGAAACAATTGAAAGCTGGAAAATGACATGCTTTCATAACGGATGGCTGAAAAGCTCTCAGCTGATGCTTCAGCATTTACCCCTGCTCCCCACACTCCTACCACCCAGGTCCAAATGCACAGTAAGAACGGCCGTCTTCCCACATTTACAAACATGAGTCCATCCAGCCCAGTGCCAAGGGAAACTAACCAAATTTTGCCTGCAAAGATTTCTAACAGAAGCCAGTGCAAACAGAATTTCCTTCTCACCATGGAAGGGGGTTCAGTCAGCGTCCCAGGACAGATTCCTCCTATTTTAGTTACATGGAGATGTGGTAATATGAACAGAAAGCGAAGGGACTGTGCACATCTTATGCATCATCAGAAATTCTTGGAAATGTTCCCTTCCACAATGATTTCCGTTAAGATTTCTAACACACTCTTAGCCTGTTCTGCTCAGTTGCAGAGGGTTCTGGAACAAGTGTTGACCCATCAGATATAAACACAAGGAGCCCTTTAATTTGCAACCAAGAAAGTCTCTACTGTGTAAGAACTTGTGGAGCCAAACTGGTCCAGCCATCATCATGGTACATACCTCAACCTTCAGGCCCAGGTTTGCAATTCTGTCTCCAAATGAGTCTGGGAGATAACCACTGTTATAAAAGTTACCAACAGGGCCCAGTGTCTAGTAGCTAAAATCCTCACTTTTTTTTTTTTATTGGAAAGGCAGATATACAGAGAGAAGGAAAGACAGAGAGGAAGGTCTTCCATCTGATTATTCATCCCTCAAGTGACCGCAATGGCTGGAGTTACGCCAATCCAAAATCAGGATGCAGGAACTTCCTCCAGGTCTCCCCCACATGCGTATAAAGTCCCAAGGGCTAGGGCCGTCCTTGATGCTTTCCCAGGCCACAAGCAGGGAGCTGGACAGGAAGTGGAGCTGCCGGGATTAGAACCGGTGCCCATAAGAGTTCTCGGCACATTCAAGGCAAGGACTTTAGCTGCTAGGCCACCATGCCGGGCCCCAAATCCTCACTTTGTATAAACCAGAATCCCATATGGGCACCGGTTCATATCCTGGCTGCTCCACCTCCCAGCTGGCTCCCTGCTTGTGACCTGGGAGAGCAGTAGAGGATGGCCCTGTACTTGTGTGGGAGACCTAGAAGAAGCTCCTGGCTCCTGGCTTCAGATCAGACAGCTACAGCCTTTATAGCCACTTGGGGAGTGAACGGGCAGATAGAAGCTCTTTCTCTCTGTTTTTCCTTCTCTCTAGATAACTGGCTTTCCAATAAAAATAATTAAATCTTTTTTAAAAAATCCTTTTATTTACAAAAAGGGTAATTTTTATTTTAAAAATTGAAACCAAGTTATTGCTATAATAGCAAGTACTTAAAAGAGAATAATGGCTTCAATTTGGATGGATCAATATATACATTAGTATGCTTTAAAATTACATGGACATTAAATTGTAATTCACATGGAGAAAACCTTGGTTCTTAGAAGACAGAATAAATTCAATGTTTTATTACCATCAAATATTATTAATTTAGGTAACCTTTTGGTCTAACTAATTTAAAAGATCCTCGTGGGAGACCCAGAAGAAGCTTCTGCACCCTGGGCTTTGGATCAGCTCAGCTCTGGCCATTGCAGCCACTTTGGGGAGTGAGCCAGCAGACGGGGCATCTTACTCTCTGTAAAATCTGATTTCCCACGGCCCGGCGCGACAGTGTAGTAGTTAAAGTCCTCGCTTTGAATGCACTGGGATCCCATACGGGTGCCAGTTCTAATCCCAGCAGCTCCTCTTCTCATCCAGCTCCCTGCTTGTGGCCTGGGAAAGCAGTCAAGGACAGCCCAAAGCCTTGGGACCCTGCACCCGTGTGGGAGACCTGGTAGGAGCTGCTGGCTTCAGACTGGCTCAGCTCCAGCCATTGCGCTCACTTGAAGAGTGAATAATCAGATGGAAGGTCTTCCTCTCTGTCTCTCCTCCTCTCTGTATATATCTGACTTTCCAATAAAAATAAATAAATCTTTTTTTAAAATCCTTTAAAAAAATTACCCATTGTTGCAAATTTATTTATTTTTTCTTCTTCTTCTTCTTCTTTTTTTTAATTTTATGGCACAATTCCACAGGGTCTGGGATTCCCCCTTCCTCAAATTCTCACCCCTGACAGATTTTCCCCATATTATTATGCTATTTAAGTGTGCCCTGATATTGCTGGTACAGACAATGTCAGACAGTCCAGCATCCCATTGTCTAGATATGTCCAACAGTTTCATTGGGAATCCATTCAATTTCAAAGCAGGGATGTACATTGGTTGTATCTTCATATGTGGATACAGTAGTCTCTACTAAGCTATCACTATACATTCCAATTTGCATGATGGCTTCCTTATATTAGAACATATGGTATTTGTCCTTTTGGGATTGACTTCTGAATCATGCAATGGACTGCTGGCAAGTGCCATGTGCTCACTCACTCAGGCCTCTGAAGAACAGGGCTCCATGTCCATTGTGCCTGTGCTTGGTCATAGAAGACATATCAAGTGAGAAGGCAAGGAGTTCCCTTTTCATCTAGCCACATGAAACAAGTCTAAGGTGCCCTGAACCCTAGCAAGACACTGCAGCCACAGTCTCATGTCAGAGATGGCCCCTTCCACCCCGTACTCTGTTCTCCAGTTAACACAATCCCCCTGGGTAACTTGACGTGGACTTTGAATAGAAAGCAGCCTATGCCTAAAGGAAATGAGGTTGTGAGCAAGGAAGAATTTACCTGGAAAACACAGCAGCCCTAGGATTCGACTGTTCTGGTGACTCTGAGAGCTCAGTTTCCGATAACACCACCACTGAAGGCAGCCAGACTCTTCTTACCTCCAAAGTCAGCCATAAGAACGAAGAAACCAAAACGGAAAAATACAGGAGCACCCAAAAGCCAGGGCCCATGAACTGATTCATTCTCCAACTTACTCCTTCTATAACACTGCATCGCTTATTGACTGTTTACTGCGTGAGAGGCATTGCACAGGGAGGTGCAGAGACTTCAGACAGGAGCATGCCTGTTGATAACCAGGTGCATGAGAAAGGCCATGGATAAGCCACTGCAGGTGTTTTCAGGAAAGGCAGGCTGTCATAGGAGGTGACAGTGGTCACATGGCCTAACCTGGAGAGGCACTCAGCTGAGCTGCCATACATACAGTTACTTAAGCAGGAGTGGTGAAGAGGCAGGTAAGGCCCCGAGATAGACAAAAGCACAGGGTGCCTCAAGATGAGGCCAGCATGGGAGAAAGAGAAAGGATGGTGACATGAAGTGAGTTTTCTGAAATGGGCAGCAAGTGACCGACCAACAGAGCCTTACAGGACATGTTAGCTTTTTGTCTTCATTTGAAAAACTCTGTGAGAAGCTATGAAAAGTGTTCACAGAGAGGTAATGTGATCAGACTCGAGCTGGCTGTGATGGCAGAAGCAGCTGAGGGGAGAGAGGTTGGTAGGCTACTGCAGGACTACAGGTAAGAAATCACAATGTGGGTGTAAACTGAGCATGCACGGAACTATTACATGAGGTCAGCAGAGCTCACGCTCAGGAGGTGAAGGAACGACAGGTGTCAAGGTCAGGGTTTTCAGGTTTGGGCTGACATTATGGTTAACGGATTAAGCTGTCTCCTGCGGTGCCAGCATCCTATGCTGGAGCACCAGTTTCAGTCCGAGATGCTCCACTTCTGACTCATCTCCCTGCTGCTGTGCCTGGGAAAGCAATGAGGAGGGCCCAGGTGCTTGGGCCCTGCCATCCATGCGGGAGATCTTAGTGAAGTTCCAGCTTCCTGACTCTAGCACGGCCCTGTCCCAGTCATTGCAGCCATGTGGGGAATCAACCAGCAGCTCAAGATCGCTCTCTGTTTCTGCCAGTCTGCTTTTCAAATAAATAAAATAAATATTTAACAAAAAAAAACCTCAGCTTTTTAAATTTTTTTGCATAGAGGTGCTTATTTGTTAAAGTTAAGAAAAGGAACCTCTTGCATCTAGCTTGTGGGCAGACAGCAAACAGCAAAGTGGCAGGGGTAAGAACCTGGGCATTCAGAGTCAGTGAGAAGTCCAAAGTTGGCTCTGCCTCTCACCAACTTGACAAATAATTCAGCTTCCTCATGCCTCTGTTTCCTCATCTTTAAAGTGCCTCTGTGATAGGAGCCCTGTAAGGTGGCATGGCATGAAAAGCTGTTGAGTTTATGTGTGCAGCATCTCACAGCCTGGCACTTGCAAGGCTGAGGTAGACAGGCGCAGTCACTTGAATGACCAAGGGAGTTGGCTGAACAGCTTGCAGTTTACTTTACAACTGTTCTCCTCCCTTCCCCAATGCTGACCGACAGGTGACTACGTACAGAATGCAAGCAAGCCGGAGCCCACTGGACCTTGAACTGTGTAAGCACTGTCATTTTCCACGGCCTCTTTTATGAAGGGCTACAGAATGCCACCTGGAAACCAGTCAGTGGGCCGGCACTTCTGCTCATGTTGAGTATTTATCCACTCTGGGTAAATAAAGTCCCTACTTGACATCAGTGACTCACATCTCTGGAAGTACAGAACAAAGGTACATAACATATGTCCAGAAGTGACCCTACAGGGCAACCTGAAGGACAAGCTGAGGAAAAGGCTTCCAGGCTGTGTCTGAAGCACAAGCAAAGACCTGTGGCAAGAAATGGCCTGAGTCCCAGGTGAGCCCACAGATCACAGAAGGCCAGCTGGTCAGTGCAGAATAGCTGCTTTCACCTCCAGCCTTGCTTGGCTGCTGCCATGGTCCTAGAGAGATCTGGGCCCACTTCCCACCAGCCTCTCTCACAATGGCAGTGGAAAAAGAGTGTAAGGAGAGGTCTGCACTACCCTTCGGGCTGTGCTGATCGTCACAAGCACTTGGAGCGCTTGCACACAAGGTGCAAGAGTAACCAGGGTGCTGGGTAAGGGAGAGCTTCCACCCTGGATTCAGAGAAGAACCAACCCCAGAGGCAGTTACAATGCTCAAGACACAAAACACTGCCATCTCTGACAGACCCAAAGACAAGGCTCAGGGCTGTGCCCCGGGCCCATGCTCCAGTCCTAACAGAATAATGCTATAGTCCAAAGGAAAGGAGGACTTCTAGACTCAGCAATGCCTCCCACCTTTTACAGAACCAGCTCAGTCGCCTGCCACATCTGGCTGCAGAAACTCCCCTTGGCTCTCACAACTCTTAGTGACCCAGCAAGCACATGATGCTATCTGCTTCCCAAAGATTTAGGGAACATTCTTGATGAAGTATTTCTAAGGAATGCTAAAAAAAGAAAAGGAAAAAAAAAATCTGAGACATAAAATATGTTTTCCTAGAATCTCTTTTCACACCTCCCAGTAAAGTATCAAGAGGAAATATAGTTACCATAAGTTACTTTGTGAAAGTTTCAAATGCTCTCCCTCTTCCCCCAGCCCTCACCCCAAACTCACACACAACACTATATAACCTAAATGCCCAGTGGGAAATGTTCAACCCCAGCAAGGAGGGATTTCCAACAAAGCCTGGTAGGCTGCAAAAGGCTGGTCTGAAAGTCAATGACACACTATCTTCCAAGAGTGTTCCCAAAATGATACAATGAAGGTCAACACAAACTGCCTCCCACCTGCTGCAACGTGCAGGCAGATGACCCAGAGAAGACATGGAAGAAGAGAAAGGAAGAGAAAGAATTCATCCCCACTGCTTGTAATTCAATGGGAAGAAGACAGAATTCAGGCCCAGGATGTAGGTCTCCACCTCAATGACTCTGGGCAGTTCTTAAACTCCTAAGATCCTCACATCTCTTTTCAATGAAATAACACTAGTAATACTGACCTTACAGGCTAACTATGACCACTCAGTGAGGTGACATGTATCAACTTATTTCACACAGAAACAGTGGAGAAATGCTGGGGAGTACCGAGGGACACACAAGGATGGCTCAGACTGGCCAATGAACAGAACTGAAGCACCAGCTCGGCTCCAAAGTTGAAGCAGGAAGACAATACGACTGACTCTGCCCTGACCCACAGACTCCAGGTCAAGAGGTTGGCCAGGACTGTCACCTTGTGAAAGCCTTCACACACTGAGGACCAACTGCAAACACCACAGACATACAGGGCACTTTCCCTCAACCCTTCCAGCGAGCAGTGGGCATCTTAGCCTTTACTTATCAATGTTCCTCTGCTTACAGCTGGAAAATATGACTGCTCAGCCTGCTTCATCTACTTCCTGTCTCGTCCTCATCTTGTATCCCCAAGCAGCAGAGGTAGTGGAGAAGGGGTCCCAAACCCCAGCTGGAAGTGCACAGCATTGCCCTGCGTTCTCAGCAGCCGTCAGTCTGTGCCCTTGGCTCCTGGCACCAACAGCCACATGCTGCCAGGCTCTCTGGGACCTTCCACTCTGTCTGTAAGGTAGGCTTGCAACCACCAGCCCACCTCACCCTCACCACTACTGGAAGGGAAGGAATCCATGGAGGTCAACAAGGATTCCCCAAGTTGGCCCAAACCAATTCCCAGAGTCTTCCTACCTGACCTCCTAGGTGTCATCATTTAGCAACGACTTCTGTTCACTGTAAATGGGATGGCACCAAGGAAGTAGGAGTTTTACTTGTGGGAATCTTCAACAATCCATAAAATAAATCAACTTTCATTGTAATTGCTTTTTAACAACATTAAGCCAGTGTAGACAAACCAGCACCCCACTTGCACTACCCACCCTCAATATGAGTTTTCATAAACAGTTACTATGAACCTGCCCTGAGGGCTCTTCAATTGTACCAGGTGGTTGGGTAGTACTTAGATTACTCAATTGGTGATTAAAAAGCCCAACAAAGGCCATACTCCTATCAGATACATCATCGCAAGACCAATAGCGACAGCAAAGCAGGAATCTTGATGCTTGAACAGAGCTGGGGGACTTCACAAAGCCCAGATCCAAAAGAAGGTATTGATACGACATTATTGTTTACATAATTTGACCTTTATGAACCCGAGTCTGAAACTCTTGCCTTGTAACTTCTCTCCCACTTCCCCACAGCCCTATTGCAAAGCACTATCTTTTATGGAGACATTTTTGAGAACTCGAGGTTTTGAAGGAAGAGGTGGAACTTCAGAGAAGGGGTGGTACCTTAAAGGAGTACTTGCGACTGATGCGATCCTCAGGTGCCACAGGTGAGATCACATAGCTGGGCAGAGGGATGCTCCCCAGGACAGCTTCTTCTCGGCTATCTTTGAGTGGAAAAGCACATTAGAACCAGCATCAGGCTCCCTCTGTCCACCCAGCACTACAGCAGCTCCCTCTTCACCAATCACTTAGTGCTCTCTGGGCATCTTCATGCCAATGCTGGAATTACAAGGGTGTTTCGGGGGGGACCATCTCCCAGAGGACACGTGCTGGCATGTCAACACACTTAGCCGCTGACTCAGCAAGTGCTGAGGGCACACACAGGCAAGAGTGGCACACAGCCTGGGCAAGTCAAGAAGGCTGCAGAGGAGGTGGACACTTGGGGTAGTGGTTAAGACAGAAGGTGAGACACTCACATCCCACCTTGGAACCACCTGGGATTGAGCTCCTGTCCTGATTCCAGGTTTCTATTGCTGTGCACTGTGGGAGGCAGCAGGTGATAGCCCAAGTGGTTGGGTCCCCATCACCCACATGATGGACCCAGACTGAGTTCCCAACTCCTGGCTTCAACCTATCTTGGCCCTGTCCATTGTGGATATTTTGGAACTGAACCAACTGATGGAGGCTCCCTCCATCTGTCTGTCTTTCTGTCTGCAAAGTAAAAGAAACACATTAATAAATAATTTTTAAAAGTAAAGGAGGTAATGGGATGGAGAAAGAAATTCTGGGTGGGGCAAATCTAAAAAGCGACTCCTACTTTGTACTTCTGTCCATCCTCAAAGCCATTCTCATGACAGTAACCACTTAATATACAAAGGCAGTGCTTGCTGATTTCTTCACTGGACACAAAACAAAGTGTAAATTCTCCTGCTTATCTGTGGCAGCCCTTTCATTTCAGCTCTCTCACCTCCCAAGCCTTATCTCCTAGGAAAAAAATCCTCCATGCAAGACCCACCTGCCATTCCATCTTTCGCCTGTAGAACTTAACTAACATCCACACTGGCAAAACTAATTCATGCTTAAAAGGCCAAGCCAAACCCTCTCTCTTCTAAGAAGTCTCCCTAGATTTCTCAGAATGGGATTCACTTCTTCCTCTCCATGAACTCTGTAAGCATTTTGAATGTCTTCTAAAATCCCTATAACTGTCTAGCCTTGTCTTAAGAGCAAGTCATCTGACTCTCTCAATGTCTGAGATATCTTCTAACCAGTGCAAGGCCCTAGCTTTACTACTGGGCTTCATAAAATCAGCTGCCCTTCCAGACCCATACAGGGATAAATCCAAAAGACAGATTACAGGTTGCAATGATTTGCCCACACTTCCTGCTTCTCTAAATTGCCTCAAAGGTGAGTGCCTACAAGTGTGTCAGAAGCTGAGTCGACTATGAATCATAGGACTCTAAGTAGTGAGTGAACTGGATTCTAACTCAGCGGATTAAGCATTCAATGCCAGGACCAATAAAACACAAGTCCCCAACTGTCCACATGTATTAAGGTGACTATTTTGACAAGGAAATAGGCTATTGGTCCAATGACTGGATCTAAGAAGACCATTATTTGTGTCCCTTTACCACCCTCTCCAGCATAAGGAACCCTTGGTAGCCTGAGCCTCAACTCACCTTTATAGTAAAATAAGCAGTAATCAGCAAGCACAAACCACCTCCTTTTCCACAGCCTCATCCCAGAACTGTCCTGCAAAGTAAAGAAAACTGCTTAGGACCATTTCAGAGTAGACTGCTCCACCACCCCCGTAACATGCCAACCGGACCTAGGCAACAAACTTGCTCATATTTTTATTTACTGAGTCTTCCTCTTAAACATCAGTGAATGTTTTATTGATACCTATTCAATGATGAAAGTTTTTTTGGTTAGTTTTTCCTTTTTTTGGTTTTTGTCTCCTAGAAGCAAATTAATATAATATACCTTCTGTTAGAAAGGAAAATGTGAGCTAAAAAAAAAAACTCATTGAAAAAGGAATCAATTCTTAACTAAAAGAGTTATTGTTTTAAAGATTTATTTATTTATTTGAAAGTCAGCAAGAGAAAGAAGGAGAGAGAGAACCCATTGATTCACTGACCAAACCAAAATGGCTACAACAGCCAAAGTTGGGCTAGGATAAAGCCAGGAGCCAGGAGCTTGGCAGAGTTTGTTTGCTTGTTTGTTTGTTTTTAAAGAAACAAAGGTGTTGTGCTATACCGTTTCTTCATTATTGCAGATAGAAACACTGAAGTTATGTGCTACTGAACACATTTTAAACTGGCTAATTAAGTAAGACAAAGTTCTCATTTCACTGAACCTCGTTCTCTTCCATCAGGGACTTTACTGTGTTTTCTTGCAACAACCTGTGAAGAGATCTTCTGCTCTGAATTTTTTTAAAAAAAATTATTTATTTATTTTTATTGGAAAGGAAGATCAGATTTATGAAGAGAAGGAGAGACAGAAAGATCTTCCATTTGCTGGCTCACCCCTGCAGTGGCCTCAACAGCTGGAGCTGAGCCAATCTGAAGCCAGGAGCCTCTTCCGGGTCTCCCACATGGGTGCAGAGTCCTAAGACTTTGAGCCATCCTCTACAGTTTTCCCAGGCCACAAGCAGGGAGGCAGAAGGAAAGTGGAGCAGCTGGGACACAAACTGCTGCCCACAAGGGATCCCAGCCCTTGTGCAGTGGAGGATTAGTCAACTGAACCATCAGGTCAGGCCCTCTAAATTGTCTCATAACAATAATCCGTATTTATTCACCTGCAAAGGACATCTTCATGTTTCTGAATAATATTCTAGGCAGGTATGGTGGCACAGCAGTTTGAGCCACCCCTTGAGATATATCCACATTCCATATTGGAATGGCTGGGATTGGGTTTCCACTTTTGATCCAGCTTCTTGCTAATGCACATTCTTAGAGACAGCCCAGTGGCTTAAGAGCTTGGGTCCCTGCCATCCACATGGGAAAACTAGATTGAAGTTCCTGGTCCATCTATAGCTATTGTAGGCATTTGGGTACTGAAACAGTAGATAGAAGATGTGTCTATTTCTCTCCCATTATCTTGTCCTGCCTTTCAAATACATACATAAATAAACTTCTTTAAAAATAACATTTTAAATAACTGTGAAAATTCAAACACCAAGGCCAAGGTGGGAAAACAGTAACAAAATGAGGTCAGTGTTGTCCCAAACCTAGATGTTCTGAACCAGCAGAGATAGCTGCTAAAAATGGTCTCCCTTCTACAGAAGTTTTTGACATAGCTTGAGTTTTTAAAAAAAAGAAAAAAAGAAAATAAGAAAGGAAAATTTCTAAACTGACACATGAAGTTTATTTATACTTCATTTCACTAAAATGATTTTATTCATTCATCAATCTTATTGAATGCAAACCGACCAGATGATTTCTATGGTCTTGGCATATGTTATTTGCATCATTCAGAGAACCCATATCCACCTGCCACATCTGGTTCAGACATCACTTCCTGTGGGGAGTCTCTCTGGGCTTCCCAGGCACAGCCACACCCCACCGTGTGCCTGCAGCACCCTATTCCACACAGCCCCCAGTTACAGCACACAGAAGGGCCTGGGCTGGTGGGAGAGAGTTCTTTGCAATCTCTAGCCTCTCCCTTCACAGTTCAAAGGAACATCCTTCATGGGACAGGGGTGCAAATGGAAGAAGTAAATGAAATTATGTGAGATGAGCAGAGAGGAAAGGAGAATAAAAGAGCCATGAAGGAAATCAGTAGCGCAAGAGAGGGTGTTGCCCAAGAAACACCTGATAGATGAGAACAAGGGTTGTGGGAGGTACCACGGGGAGCAGAAGAGTGGTGTGGGTATTTGTGTTAATGCCCTTCTCTGCCTTTCCATAAGGACCTTACTAACACTGATATCATTGCTCTTGATTTATTATGATGTGTATTTGTGAGGGTAGGGATTTTATAACATTTTGGTTTCTGGGTTGAGTGACTTTGTGACAGGAAGGGAGGGTGGAAACCATATACTATTCATCTCTTTAAACCTGCTGTGGGAGCACTGAGGACAGGGCAGACACTTGGGGAAGGGATAAATGGATAGCAAGGGAAGAAGGAAGGCAACAAGAGATGAGGTCTCCGGCGTAGGGAGCTAACATCTTGGCTATGGCCAGATGACCAAAGGCATCAACTGGAGGTGCCACTGGCCCCAGGACAGAGAAGGTGGTCCTGGGTGGGTAAGGACATAGGAGGAGCTGGCCATGGTGCTGAGGAGCCTCCATTACTCCGATGAAGAACAAGCTGCATGGGGGGTGGGGAAAGGGGAAGACCACGGAGGAGGGGAGACAATGATCTGAGTCTGGCCAGCCTGGTATGTGAGGTGCTGTGGAGCTAGATGCGTGTGCAAGACAAAGGCCAGAGGAAAGGACAGCATTTTTTCAGCCCAGTGACAACAAAGACTCTTTTTCATCAGAAAGGCAAGAGCTGGCAGAGAACTAGCAGTAAGGCTGGATTTATACTATCTACCCACTGAGGCCTGTGCCACTGACAGCATCAGAAGCTAAGAGGGTCAAGTGGGTTTGGGGATAGAAACTGTAATAATTGAGCACACCATCTACTTAGAACTACAAACAGCAGACTCCTGAGCACACAGGGCAGAATCCACATGCCTAAGGCAAACTCAGCAGCAAGGCTTGCATGCCTGGTCCCAGCCTAAGTGGAAGGGGCAAAGAACAGCCTCAACAGGGCCAGTCCCCTCAGCCTCCTCACCTGTTTGTGCAGCCAGCCCCGCACCACCACTGGAACACTGAGGTTTCTTCGAATGGCCTGTTCTCTCTTCCCGAAGCTGTGTACTTTATTGCTGGACTTTATGATCTAGGAAGAAGCAGACTTCAACTCCAGCAGCGGCAGGGAGGGGAACACACACAAAGCACTGGTACATGAGGAGGGATGCTAGCTGCTCTGCTTTGCTATAAGCACCCTCTGATCAGAAGCACAGCAGAGAGACAGAGAATGATGGGCTCATGGCCATAGCACTCTAATTAAAAGGCAAGTCCGAGACTTGGCAAGTCTCCTGGTCTGGTCACAAGGGAAAAAATATTGAAAGCATTTTTCAATTGACTTCTACCACCTACTAGATAACTTTCTGGAGTAAAGCCACTGCGTATTTCCAGGTATAGATCCCTTCTCTCTGGGTTTATTCCTCAGTACCCTCCTCCCCTGATTCTCTAACAATCATCCACAATGCAAGCCAGGAAAGGGGAGAACTTGCCAAAGGACCTACACACCAGTCCTGATTCTGCCAACAGCCATCTGTTTTCTGGAGCAAGGGAAGAGTCCTTCTTGGTCTTAATTTTCTCATCTGTCATTTGGGGAGAACACCTCTTACAGGTCTCTCCCACAAAGCTATGGTGGAGATCAAATGGGTTTCTGGCTAGAAAGGGGATCTGACAAAAACAGAAATGAGGGCGTAGACAGAAAGAGCAGTCAGCAGCTTACCTTGGGTCCAGGCTTGGCCTCCAGGGTGGACGTGGTCCCAGCCGTGGATGTCTCGCTGACCATGCTGGACGGTCTTTGGTTTCTCTCTTGCTTTGACATGTGTGGGTTTGGCCTGTGAGGAGAGAGAGGGGAATCCTGAGAGCAAGTGCCAAGCAGTAGGGTGGGAAGCGGAATCTGACAGTTGTGCCATGTTGGAACCAGTTTGGGCCCTTAGAACAAACCAGGTGCAATCTTCTGGAGACCACCCACGACCCAGAGTGCAGCCCCTGTGCTTCCAGGACTCCATGCGGGGACATGCCCACTAACAGGTCTGGCTCTTGTTCTCGCCTGTTTTCCTAAGGTCCTTATGCTCACTCTGCCACTTGAGTCCTGTGACAACTGCTCCATGACAGAATGGGCAATCACAGTCAAAACACTCTACACAACGAGAGTAATGCAGACCCTCGCACGACACACTCACACACCCCTCCATTCCCATGGCTCCCTAAAGAAGCTGCTTATAATTAGTAGCAAGAAACCACTTGCACACACATCCACACCCACAGATACACAGAGAATGCTTACATAAACACCAGTGGGGCTTGCCTCCCAAAATAGACTACTCAACAAAGAATCCTATTCTGGGAACACTCCAGTTGCCCCAAAATAGAGGCATCTGAGATATTAACCCCTTGTGCTAAGTTTGGAGAGTGAGAAGAAAGAAACAAAGCAAGCATTAGGTTCCCAGGAGGATCCCGGGACTTCCCTAACAGCATTCCAGAGCTGCCCACCAAGGAGCTACCCCAGGACAGCTAGCACTCTGGGAACATCTTGGTAGCAACATAAAAGACATGGCCCCATGGCCTCACCTTCCTCCGCTGAGTCCCAGCATTCATGTATCTTTCAAAGCAACAGTGGCCAATCTCTTCACACAAACTCAACACCTGTCCCCAAACAGCTCAAGGCCTGACCCCAAGCCTCTGCCAGCTCTGGGATCGGCAAGCTTTTCTTGAAGTCCAAGTCTCACACTTCAGAAGCTGAATTCCGCCTGCTTTTCTGACAAACAGAACCCCAGAAGACTTGGCTGACTGCAGTAAGGTGAGGCTGTTTGCCTTGGGAGCAGAGAACACCCGCTTTGGGAGGCGAGGGCAGGAGCCAGAGGAGATGGAACTGGGGAGTTCCAGCAGTCCACGGCTGAGGACTCAGCACACCAGGTGTCGGTCTCCAGATTCACTTTCAGAGACGTACAACGGAGAAAATTTGTGTCCTTCAAAAGACTGAGGGATCCTTTCTGTGCCCTCGGCCTTGGTGCGACAGCTCACCCAAGGAGGAAGTTCACTGCTGAGCTCTGAGCAGTGCCAACAACGGGACCTAAAAAGCAAGTACCAGCTCACTGAGGGGCAGGGCTTAAGCAGGATGCTCAGCAACTGGAGGTGCAAGCCTCACCAGCCAGGAAGATGGCTGGCCTCTTATCAGCCCAGGCACTTGCTCCAGATCTCCCACCCTGGCTTGCCTCCACCCCAGCCAGATTTCTGAGGCCGCTTCTCCTTGGAAGGAAGAATGTCATGTGTGCCCGCTCATTGCTGGCACAGGCTGTGTGCAGCTCACCCGGAGGTGGGAAGGCGCCCGGAGAGGCTGCCTTTTCCGTTCCCTGCCTCTAGGCAAGGGAACATCCAAAACAGAGGAATTTTGAGGGAGAAGAGTTCTTGAATGGCCCACTTGGAATAATTTCATCCCTATGCTAACATTCAGGACATGCAGTCCAACCAGAAGAAAACGTTTGTTTGGGATTTCATCAAACTTAATTGGTTCCACTTAAACTACTAAAAGAGTTTTATTATAGAGTTTTTGAGAAACATCAGAAAAAGTTGAAAGGGGAGAAAAAAATTACTCTTGGTCCAGTATTTTTATTCCTATATAATTGTGATTCACACTATTTTCATCCATTTCACCTAACATCTTGATTTTTAAAATATATCATAAGGGACTGGCATTGGCATAGTAGGTTACGTCTGCCTGTGACATTGGCATTTCATATGGGAACTGGCTCAAGAGTCAGGTGTTCCACTTCTGACCTAGCTCCCTAACACTGTGCCTAGGCCACCAGCAGCAGATGACCCAAGCTCCCAAGCTTAGGAACTAGATCCATGTAGGAGACCCAGAAGTAGACATGGGCTCCTAGCTTTGACCTGTCCCAGTCCTAGCTGCTGTGGCTATTTGGGGGGGGGAGGGGTGAATCAACCAATAGATGGAAGATCCATCTCTCTCTCTCTAACTCTGCCTTTCAAAAAGTAAATGAAACATCATGAACATTTTTCCTGTTATTTTAAATTCATGCACATCATTTGAAATAACTACATACTATCCCATCGTTAGATACTTCATTCCTTCTCTGCAGGACAAAGATTGAATTTGTGATTGGCCCATGATGTCCTAGAAAAAGGACATTATGGCATGTTGCAGTCACAAGGCCCATAACTTTGTTTCCCCTTAACTTCTGCATTCCAAGCTCATGTCCCCTCTCTACCTCAGTGCTTAGCCAAGGAGCCCCTCCTAGCCAAGAGCATGGAAAGAAAGATGACTGTCCTGTATCCTTGGGGTCCCATGACCACCTGGGAGACTACTGTGAACAGATTTTGGCTAGAGAAGGAATGGCTGTGTCCTCAGCAGGGGACATTGGAAAAGGATGATGGTGAGCAGGTAGGCAAGAAAAGCAAGGAACAAAGGCAAGTGCATTCCTCATGCCCTGCACTGCTTAGCTTCACCTCTAGCAAGCTGGTCAAAAGATGCACCTAAAGCATTAACTGAATCTGCCACAGCAAAGGGGCTGTGCTGTCTTCACAAATAAGCAGCATGCCCTTGACAAGTACGCCATGGACCGCTGGAACAACACCCAACTAAAGCAACACTCAACTATTACCTGGCCCAGCCCTGACCTGGCGTTTTGAAAGAGCAAGGCACACTACACTGTCCCTTTGTCCAAGTAATAAGATCTGCCTTCATGGGATGCAACTCTGAATCTGCCCAACCTGGGTCACCATCTCTCAGGACTTCTGAGGCAAGTACAACCTTGGGAAGTGACCCAGAATTACAACTGGTTTAAAAAAAACATGATGGTGACACTTGGAAATACCACTAGCTGTCAAAAAATAAGGATACAAAAATGTCTTATGAACAATTTTCTCACTTGGCTGAGAAGCTGGCTCCAAAAGAAATTTCTAGGGGGTAGTTGACCCAGTCGTGTGAGCAACAAGTAGGCAGCCTCCTTAAGAGAATGCACGAAAGCCTGGACACAGACATGGTGGTTCCCATGTCTCAGTACTTCTGAGCATGAGCCCTACACACTGGTTTCTTAATTTCTCAGACTGAGTGTGCTCTCCTGACAGTTTCCCCGTTAACCACGCCCCACCCTAGAGAAGATCCAAGCCTTCCCTACTCCAAGTTGAATGACTGTAAAAGGCTGGGCTCCCTACCAGCAGACCCCCAGGCACGCTGACTCACTCAGATCCCAAGGAATGGGTGGGACAAGGAACCTGCACAGCAGACTCTTAGTGCTGTTTAACAAAATCCATTAACTCAAATGCCTAGGAGCCAGGTTTCTGTGCTATCTGGATTCCCCAAGAACAGTGGGATGATTGGAACAAAGACCTCCCTCTCCTTGGCTTGGGCTTCATGAATGCTGACTATTTTGCTGGAGGGGTGTGGGCTGAAGTTCAACACAGTGAGCTAGAGCTTCAACTTGCCAGCTTCCCATCTGAAACAAAGGGAGGGATTAGCACTAGACACAACTGGCTGTGAAACCACTGGATTCCACCCTGAACTCCAGCGTGGAGGTGTCAGATGAGACTGGCCAGGAAGTCACTTTGTCCATCCCTCCATTTCCTTATCAATAAGAGGAGCTGGACTTGCTTCCTGCATACCCAGAGTGCAGTGCTTATGACACTGTCAGGTGCAGAAAAGAAAGTGAGGTTATAAACACAGAAGCCATTCTGCCTAAGTCTGATTCATGGTATCCATGGCCTTCTCTCTATCCACAGTGACAGCTAGAACAGACTGAAGTCAGAATACAGCCAGACCATTCTCTATCCTGTAGGTCACAATAAGTAGGTCACCAGCCAAGGGTTGTCAACAGTCAGGGATAGGTACACAAGGTTAAGTGAGCAGAGAGACTGAGCTGCATCTGCTGGACACACACACACTGGGCTAGGCACTGTGCCTGCACCATCTCAGCCCTGTAGACTTCATCTCTGTTTCACAGACATTGAGAGGGAAGTGGAAGTAACAATTTGCCTCCACTCCAAAGCTGCACTCCCCAACCTGGGCTCTGCCATCAAGAAATCTGCTCACAGCAAGTCCCCCAGGTCTGAGAAAGAAATGAGTTATTCTTAACCCCAAGGTGTACCCTGAGTCCAGGAGATCTTGGGGTGGAGGAAAGGACTAGGGTCTACAATAACTGGGTGTGGGTCACACGCCGTCAAGTCCCAGGGGTTCTCTGGATCTTAGCTTCCATTTTTGCAAAATGGAATGAAAACTGCTTCTCATCTTACAAGGTAGGTAGGTGGTTTGAAAGGACATTGAGAAAACCATAAAGTGAAATGCATTATGTGTGCCTGCTACCAGCAGAGACCCCCAACATTTAAATCCCAGCTGCACTTTGCATCAGAGGCACTCCTCTCCAGAATCCTTCAGATGCCAACCCATTGACCTCTAAGAACCATCGTTTCATATCAACACTCCTACAAAGGTTTCACCTGGCACTTTTCAAAGGTGACCCTCATGACCATGACAAGGGTCTTCTCTCTCCAGGACCACAGCGATGTCAAGGCTAGGAGGAGGGTGTTAGAAAGCTGGGGAAACAGGACTCTTGTGCTGCAAAGACTTCATTAAACCACAACCATACCCTGTAGATTTCTGGGAAAAAAGGAGGCCACAATCCATGCTCTGCCCTTGAGTATTTAACAGAGAGCTAACGAGCTCAGCTAACACCTGTGGTAGGAGGCTGGGGCAACAGGATAGCCTTGCTTCCAACTGCAGACTCTTCCAAGAGCCGGCACCCACTGACCAAGAGGTAGGGAAAAGCCATGCACAACAAAAGTGAGAAAAGAAAAAAAAGAAAGAAAGAAAGAAAGAAAA